GTGGAGGTGAATGAATACAAGGAGGCTCAGCTGACCTCATGAGGTTTCCTGTCTGGCAGTTAGACTTCTGTGGCCCCTTAGTTTTTATTTTAAATGACCAGCAACAATCAGGTGTAAAATAAAGCTTTTTTTTTAAGTTTAATTTCTAGAAAACACTAATTTTAAGGAAGAATATTATGTAGTCCATATAGAAAACAATTTATTTTTAAATGCAATTATTTTTCTTGAAAATATTGGTTTAATTAATTATGGAATTGAATTTTGGGTGTGAAGTTTGCTCTATTTGTAAATAAAAAATGGCATAATTTTGGTGCAAAATGTACATTTGAAATTGAGAGAAATTTGTATGTATTCATTTACTTTATAATATACAGTAATTTATACATGCATTATATATTGCAACTTTGAAGGACATTGTTTTCACATGACTTATAGACTAGAAATAAATTGCTTAAAGATATTCAGTTTCATAAACTTATTGAATATTGCTGGTTTCTTATCAAAGTGTCTTTTCTAATACTTTCATTTTCTTTTAAAAAACAATATTTTTTATTTCTCTGTCCTCTGAAAGAAATAAAAATTCTCATACTAGAAAATGCAGATACAAAATGTATAAAATTAAATATCATATGAAATACTTTTAAATTTATTAATGTAATAAACAGGAATAGTTTAGTTATCTAATTCTTCTTGTGAAATATATTATCTTTGCCTTGAGGCCTAATAACTATGAGATAATGACTGAAGTATATCTGAACTATTTCAAAATCATTGACAATTGTACTGATGATGAGAAGATGAGGATTTTTCAAATTGGAAGCAATAGACTTGTAGTGTGTATGTATATAGTTAGAAAGTGTTTTCTGTAAAATGTGTTTGCTAATCAAACTTTCTCACTATCATATTAATGTCAATTCAAGGCTTTGAGTATTTTATGGAGTATTTTATTTGCTGTGTTCTTTTCTGTCGTCGGTCTTTTCAAAACCATTGCAATCTTGACTTGAGAAAACTTCTGGAGAGGATTCCTCAAGTTCCTCTGGATACCAGGTGGCAGAAATTCATTGCCAGGGCCAGCTGGGGCTAACCTCTAATTTGGTTCCCTTTGTTAGTGCAGCTAAGGGCATATAGCTGACCTTTGAAAGAGATAGAAGGTAGGGCAAAACAAAAGTCAGGTTTTAAAAAAATAACTAAATGGAAGTATTTGTTTTGAAGATGTTCTTACTCCAATGATCTTATTCACCCTGCTGATGAAGAAGGGAGCCACTTTCCCTAAGTAATATGAGATGAGGACACAGACAGTACTGATCAGGTGAGATAGTATAGCAGTTTGTAAGTCACACAAACTTAGTACCCAGGGAAGGAGGACACCTTTGGAGTGAGGACATGCCTTGCAAGACTACACGGAGGTTGCACTTGGGAGCAGAATGAACCAACAGGGGCTGTGGAAAGCAAAATTTCTAGTGAAAAGAAGGTGAGGAGGACTCATGGTTCCACAGGAAGATATGATTGGCTTGTTTGAATATTGCTCTGGTAGGGTGGTAAACCTAGTAGGGTCAAGATAAAGCATAGCTATGAATACTCCTTCTCTTGCCAGGGAATGGCCACCAACCAGAAGTGAAGGATCCCTCTCAGCTAGCTCTCCACCTCACAGGATCCTTCACTACTGGGTGGTGGCCATTCCCTGGCAAGAGAAGGAGTATTCGTAGCTATGCTTTTTGGATCCTGTGATGCTTAAAGAAGTCAAGGTAGTATGAGAATGTTAGTCTTATATTTCCCATGGTTAAAAGATTAGGAATTGTCAGCGGGAGGAAGTAGTACCTGGGTTATCTGCAAGGCAATGAAAAACTACTGGGTCACAATGCAGCCACTATAAAGAAGAGGTAGAGCTGAGTGTTCACAAGATAGTGAATACCAGGGTTTCTACTCCTGTGAAAGGGTGAGTTCAAGGGGTGACACACACCCAATGTATGGCTCATCAGAGGCAGGAGAGTTCATGGGTAAGGGGTGTGGAAACTGTCACACATTTGGGCTCTTATCAGACCTGTGGCTTATGGAAGTTCACTTAATCTCTCTGTAGTTCAGTTTCTTCCTTAGTAGTATAATAGTAACTGTCTCATGGGATGGCTAAAATGTTAAATGAGATAATACCTAATAGATAATATCTATTATTATTGATTGGGCACAGAAGTTACCCAAACCTCTTCTGAGGGTGAGCTAACTAGTGGTTAGCTCTTGGCCTAAAGTAGCAGTCAGGGTTTAAGACTCTGCAATATCATTAAGAACACTTAAACTATACTGGAGATTATTTCTCTTTACAAGGTCCCAAGTGACAAACTATAAATTGTTACATAGAAGTATTAGGGAAGCTCTGCATTTATAAAATTATTAAGGTGCATTTTAAATAATAACCCTTTAAAGATTCTCTTATAAGGGTATTGGTATTTTGAGAGCAAGGCCCAGGGCCTATTATTACATAAAAGACATTCAATAAATTTTGATTGAATAGCTTTTGAAAAATGAGGCATTATAGCTCTTCAATTATGGTAATCCCTCTGTAGCTTCATTTGTAATATTTGCAAGTAAACTGAACAAAAGATTAGTTGTAGTCCAGTTTGCAAAGGTTGTCCCAAAATGTGCATCTAAAAGGCAATATTAAACTGTATTCTGATTGGAAGATGGGAACTTGTCTTGAAATTCCAGAGAAGAACATGCATATTATTTATTTGGATATAGGGATACATAGAAGAAAAAAAAAATCTCTTCCAAGTTACTTGTTGACTCATCCACTGTGATAGCTGTAGGGGATAACAGTTAGTAACAAAATGTATTTGTGACTGTAGACATTTTATACAGACTAAACACACTTATTTTCTTGTTAAATCCTACTCCCTTTTTATATATGACTTCCTACCTGTTTAGTTGAGATAAACTGTAAATTCACCAAGAAGAAAACTTGCCTGCATGTCACTGTAAGCCCCATTATGCCTAACATAGTGTTTTTTGATGTCATGTGTTCAATCAATATTTGTTAGTTGACTAGTTTTTATTGATTCATCAATACTTCCCAGTTGTGTTTGTGATTTTCTCCTTGCAAGACAAATTGTTTTAGAGACTCCAAGTGAATGAATTGTACCAGGTAATATAAAACTTCTTTTAATGTTCACAGTCTATGGTGATTAACTCTATCAGGGAGAAATCTTAGTAACAATAAAGTAGTTCTGAGAAAACTTAGGAATTTATGAGACATATATTAACTTATAAGTGATTCTATAGAATAAAATTATGTAGATAAAAATTATATATATTACTAGTAAAAAAGTATGATAGACAGTGTTTAGTGTAATTGACTATAACCTGTTAGGTGCTTAAGTATAGCAGGGAATGACTGAGGAGCACAGGTTCTGGCTTCCCATGCCCCAGTTTGATTCCTTATCTTAGACCTTGTGCAAGCCATCTTACCTCTCGGTGCCTGCTTCCTCATCTATGAAACAATGAAAATTGTAGTATCTGCTTTATAGGGTTATTATAAAGATTAAATAAGTGATTTAGAGTTCATAGGAAACATATTATCTGGTACATGAACACTATATATTTTTTACTATATACACTTCACTATAAAAATTTCCTCATTTCTTCCCATAGACTTCCAAGCATCCTTTCCATGATGGGGGTGGGCAAGCAAAATATATTCATGGGAAATTTTCTTTTCTGGAATAAAGCTTTGCTTGAAGGTCTAGAATTTACAAGTGCTATACTCATTTATTAAGAGATCTCATTTATTATGAGATTATTTTTAAGAGATTTATTAAGAGATGTTCTAAGAAAATAGTCTAATATTCAGCGAATGGATGTCAAAAGTCAAGTGAGCGCATTTCAGAGGGAAACAGTGTCCCAGCCATCACCCTGGAATGATTTTAAAGCAAGTAATCTCCTGCCGAAAGTGCTGTCTTTGATATCAAATGGCCATTAAAAACCCCATGACACTTCACTAAGACTTAAAATTATTCAACACTATCTCTAGGCAAGCATTCAGATTTGAGATGAAATTCCCCTAAAGTGGTTAAAGTATTTATAGTCCCCTAACGCTTTTAAATAGTTTTCTTCTGCTGGAGGAGCATTCTCTTCAGGTGGCCACAGCTGAAGATTGGACACTCTTTGTCACTCATAGAGGTTAAGTTGTTGAGTCAATCACATTTCCAAAACATGCTTTGCCTTTTGGTTTATGGTTTCCCATGAATTCTGTTTGTAAACAGTAAATTGACAAAATTCTTTTGTCATCTTTAAATTGCTAAAAGTCTTTGTTTTTTCCTTTTCATGAGAAATTTCCCTGAGCACTTTTACCTTAGTTGTTTTCTAAGAAATGTTTCAAAGAAATTCAGAATCTGATAAAAACTCAGTAAAGCCTCCATAGAAACAAATTGTTGAAGTAAAGTATGTTAAAGAATGATCAGAGAATAAACTAGACTTCACTATGATAAGAAAGTGATAATATTTGATTTCAATTCTCATGACTTCTAAATTCTTTCAGAAAATTGTGATGCTCTAGAAAAATATCTTCAAGCAGTAACAAAAAATAAAAAAATAAAAAAAAAACTCTTCACATGTACTGTTTTGAAACCTAAGTGCTATTAGGCCTCCCGCAAAATAGTATTTTGTATTATGCCCTGGTCCATTTCATGCAATTTTAATACAAATTCCTATGAATAGAGAACACAATTTATAGAGAAATGTTTCATTTTAGTTTCAATAGATGTTTCTTATGTCCTGTATTCTCTGATTCTCTTCAAACATTCCCTTTTTTCCTCAGACGACGGTTTCCCTTTGCTTTTATTTATTTGATTCTTCACACCAGTCGTGGATGTTCGGATGGCTCTCCAGCCGCGGGACCCGGGTTGACAGCGTCTGAGTCGGTGCTGAGAGGCGCCGCGCGCCGGGGGCGGGGCCTGAACGCGGGGCGGGGCGGGGCCTGAACGCGGGGCGGGGCTTCCCCGTGGAGCGCTGCGCGCGGGCACATCCCAGGTTAGCTGCTGTGAGCCGAGCCCGCGGCGGCTGCGGCGGCGGCAGTGAACAGAGCCGGATGCTTGCCGGCTCTCCGCGGCTGACTCCAACGCTTCTCTTCGTCTGCGCCACATCTACTCGCCTGGGCTGGGGAGGGACACCTGGCAGTGATCAGCCTGAAAACTAGTGGCACAGCCTCGGGACTGAAGAGAAAGCTGAGTCCCTCAGGTGAAGCCAGTGTCGGAGCGCAGTCCCTCAGCGCCCGACGTCCGATCGCACCCCGAAAACCCCCCGCTGCCCGTCTTCTAGCGCCTGCCGCGCAGGGCGCGTGGGGAGAGTGGGGTTCAGTGCGTGGGAAGGGGGGTGCCGGGACACCGATGATGGACGCACAGACCTGGCGCATGGGCTTTCGTTGTCTCCTTCTTCTGGCTTTCGTGGGGTCTACCCGAAGCGAGGGTGGACAGACCTGTGAAGAAGTTCGGAAACTTTTCCAGTGGCGGTTTGTGGGCGCTGTCAAGGGGTTGCCGGATTCGCCGCGGGCAGGTAAGGAGCCGCTAGCCGGCGCAGGGCACTGCACTTGGGCGCGGTGAGGTCCTCTGAGCGCTCGCCCTGCGGTACGCGGGGCTCTCGGAGGTGGAACTTCGCGGGAAGATGACCTTTGGGGCCCTCCAGCCGCGCAAGGTGAATCCCGTTGAGGCTCCTGGGGATGCGCCTGGGGAACGTCCCGTGTGCTGCGCGGCTCCGGGCTTTCCCTAATGCGTCTGCGGCTATTCTGAGCTTGGGCGTTCGCAGCCCGCCCGGGCTTCCCTAGTCTCGGATGATGCGTTGGAAGGAGCTAGGAAAGCAGAGGTGTGGGGACAGCGCGGTCTGACCGTGTTTCTGTTGGGGGACAGAATGTCACCGGGGTGTCCTGGGTTTGCCATTTTCTCATAAACTGAAGGAATTGGATTAGTCGTCCCAACTTGGATACTAAAAGCACAGACCTTCATTATGTGCCTTTGTTGGAGTATGGCAGTTGGGCCACTAACAAGGGCAGCCCCTCTGATCTCTTCTGTAATTAGGATCCTGACCCGGTACTCCTGGCTTTTTCGGTGCACCAACCCTTCCTTTCAGGAGCGCAAATTGCCCAGTGTCTTCCGGAACCCCGAGGTAGTTTCGAGCCTGATAGATGTTAAGGCAACAGGCGGATCAAACTCAACCTATTGGGGAGCCACTTAGCATGGATAAGATAACAGAGATACAAAGGGAAAGAATATAGTTAGTGTGGCCAGTGTAGAATATGCTTCCTGCAAGCGCCCTTTGCCTGCGTTTTTATCACCTCTTCCCAGTCCTCATCACGCAAATTTTTGTCCCCTGAGAGCAGATCCAGTGCTCCTTCTGTCCGGAAGAATAGGTCTCAGTTGTCAACGAAATAGCAGGTGTCTGGAACTAACTTAGATCTTACTGGAACAATGCACCTCTTCAACTGTGATTATGAAGCCAACACACAGGGTTGAATGCTTTGAGGTTGTTGGTTGAACAAAGAACTTGTGGAGAATTCTTGTCTGAAATCCGTTTTCTGCCTGAGTCTCCAAGGTGAGGAGACTTGCACTCAGCACTACCCAGCAGTGAGGTCTTCCCTGGACTGTTTTTCTGGCCATGCACTCCATTCTTGTCAAACCACAGGAAATCTGTTTGGGGACATTGAATCCCTATGTGTGTGTGTATGTGTGTGTGTGTATTTGGCTTTGAATGTAGGGGCCCTCTACCAATGAGCCACATCTCTGGCACTTATCATTATCTATTTTGAGGCAGGGTCTGGCTAAATTGTAGAGCCTGGCCTCAAACTAGGAATCCTCTTGCCTCAGCCTCCTCAGTAGCTGGGATTACAGGCGCACTTGACACCCTCAATGCACCTGGCTACAAGAACATTTTAAAACACATTAATATTTATTTGAATGCCTATTCAGTACCACCAGATGATATTCTCAGTTTAGGATAATTCTCTCCTCATACAAAATACGTACTTATAAATATGTATTTTCTTATTTCAGTGTATTCTTTTCATTAAGAAATAAATCTCACTTAGCTGCTGATAAAACTAAAATTGTGTGTGTGTTGGGGGGTGGGGTTGAACTGTGAAAGCCTCAATTGAGTTATTAGACTTTGCCTCCTCAACATGATAGGTTAGGTTGATACTTTAAGTGAATGTTGACATCTCCCCAATAAGGCCTTGACTTCAGTCCCTTCTCATATCTCAATATTTCTGGTACCTGCTGAATACAACACATAGACTAGAAGGTACTGCATTTCTGAAAGCTTGTGTGCCTCATCTCTGTTGAAGAGGAAGTTCTCAACACATTATGAGGTGGCATTTTAGCAGGATAAAAGGGAAAACCAAAGCTCTGCCATACCTTAAGGGATTCGGGGGCCATAGATTACAGTTGATACACAGGACACAAATAAGTGCCAGGGTGGCAATGATCTTCTAAGTCATTTTGGATTGTTTCCCTGTCTTTATGTGTGGCTTACGGGGATGGAGAACTCACAGCAACACCCACTAACGGGGTTAGTTTAAGTTGTACACTTAAACCCTAGTGGTGCTGGTGAAAAGATATGCTAAATTCCTTTAATATTTTCATTAAGAAAAAGTCATGTGAATGTTTTATTCTGATTTAGGCTCACCAAATAGAAGACATTCATCTTTGGATTTGATATAATTCTGAATTTTTCTTGTTTCTGTATTGTTGGTGATTTTTTATTTGAATAATTCAAGAAAATATTAAACTCTTTCTTTTCATATTGGTTTCTTTCTTCTTCCCACTTAAAAAAATCTCAAGTAAATCACATATAACATATGTTTCATAATTTTTTTATTTCTGTATTTATATGTAATCTGTAATGTTTACCATGATTGAATTTAGTAATTGGATATCTTATTTTCTAAAATTATCCTCAATCTCAAGAGAGAATACAGTTAATATATAAGTACTCATTTCCACATGAGGATACAAATGTTAATATTCTTTTTAATAAAATGTGTTTGTTTAGCACCCAGCCATTCATTGACTAACATGAATACAATTAATTTGATATTTGTTTTTCTTGAAGGTATATTTCTTAGTGCTTTTTATTTCATTTAGTTTTTCCACAGTGGTTGATTCCTGAAATGCCTAGTCAAAATGCTGTTTTTATAATACAAGCAGGTAGAATAACTTCTTACAGTTTCTTATATTTGTGACTTTTATATCTTCTTAAAATATTTTGTAATTTGAAATTATTAAAATTGTGAGAACAGCCATTCAAGCTGTTTCTCAGATTTCCCTTACCTTTGTTCCTTACACTGCTCCAGTTCTTTAAGCCTATTGAGCTCCTAAGAATGTTTGGATGAGAAATGTAAAAAAAGAAAGAAGGTGTAAATGTGATTAGAATTACAGATTTCCTTGTGTTCTGATTTTATTTCCTAAGTAGTAGTCAAGGTGCCCTTTGCTCTTATTTATTTTATTCAGGAAAGAACTGTTAGTGTATTTTAAAGGTTCTTTTATTTTAAATTTATTTATTGGGGAGAGGAGATAATGCTTTCCCATTGAAATTCTCTTCACACATGCATTGTTCACTCATGTATTATAGTCTCTTTGAGAGGATAATTCAGAGATTTGTAAAAAATAATCGAAGACTACATTCAGATAATTTATTTGCCAATTTTTAAAAGCCAAGCGTTCTTTGGTAGAGAACTTTATGTTGAATACTCTCTCCATGTCAAGTGGTTTGTCAAGGATAACTGTCAACTTCCACTAATATGACAAAATACCTGAGGCAATTAACTTGTAAAGAGGAAAGGTTTATTTTGGCTTATGGTTTTGGAGGCTGTAGTTCAAGATCCAGTGGCTCATTGATTTGGGCTACTGGCAAGATAGCACATCATGGCAGGAATGCCTGGCCGAGGAGCAAACTACTTACTTCATGAGCCAGGAAGCATAGAGAAGAAGAGGCCAGAGACCCACAATTCCCTTTGAGGATATGCCTCCAGTGACCTAAAGACTATCCCACAAGGCCCTACCTCCAAAATGTTCCAGTGTACCTCCCAGTAGTGCCACCTTGGGGACATTTAATGTCTGGGGTACGTTTAGCATTCCAAACTATATAGTTAAAAGTTCTATACAATTTTCCTTGTTAGGTATTGACTATGAATAGAATAATAACAAATTTGATGTGGCAAAATGAAATTCTAATATTATTAGACTCTTTAAGTAGTACTCTGTAGCTTTTTTTTTTGTTTTAAACTGCCTCCGTTAAAATCAAATCTTATAATCACTCCAAGGACAGTTCATTTCATTCTCACATCCAAGGGAAACAATCTACCTGGTAACCTTGAAGTTTGGAATTGTAGACATCTGGATTTTAGTCTCAAACTCGATCCTTCCTTTTGTAGTTCTGTTAATCATTTATCTATGAGCCTCTTTTTCATCATCTGTAAAATGGAAATAGTCTAAGAGGTGGTTGCATAGATGAAATGAAATAATGTATGTAAAATGACACAAATCCAGGCACATAAGTGTTTAAATATATTCTTGTCATAATTCTTTATCTCATGTCTTGATTTTAACTTTACTTGATTTTTAAGGATGAATTTTTAAGTTTTTAACTCAAAATTTATATCCCTGTGTATCAAATATGTATTTTATAATCATTTGTTTTTTCAGTCAAAAATGATCATTTCTAAAATTGGGAATATTTCTGTCCCAAATGGTGTTTATTAGGTTATTGTCATTTTTTTTGTTATTGTTAACAAATAAAACTAAGAAAGAAACAGGGTGGAACCACTGCTAGCTACAGCAGCATCCATAGCCACTACCTCCACTGCCACCGCCACTATTCTGTCTGTATGCAGTGACAAAATAGTATATAAGGTGCAATTTAAGGTTTCACATAATTAGCTGGCTAGTGGCTAGAGGCACTCATTGACAGCAGTCTCAAACTGGGCTTCTTCTCAAATGTGGGCCCATGCCTGTAATCCCAGCTACTTGGAGGATTGTGGCAAATAAGGGTTGGGGATGTAGCTCAGCGATAGAGTGCTCCTGGGTTCAGTCCCCAATCAAAAATAAAAAAATATTGGGACTTTGTTTCTCCTGAACTAACCCCTTTTTTTCCTATTTGAACTGTGTCATCATGGTGATCAAATTTCCAAAGCTCAAATTGAGACCTGTGGTCTGCCATAGGGGTGTATTATTCGTGTGAGGTTTGCCCTGTGTTGGAGCCCACCATGCAAGAACTGCTGGAAACGAGACTGTGGTCAAATAAATGAAGTTCCCTTTATTTGCTGCAACAATGAAGATTGCACACTACAGGAGCCATAGGTATTTTGGTAATAAGCAGTTGGGAATGTTTTGTATAGGATTTGTCCTGGGTGATATTTGTGCTGGGTGATAATTAAGCAGGGTTTAATGAAGTAGGGCAATTCAGGGATTGGTTATCTTGGTAACTTTTATCTAGGTATTAGGAAGATTAAGGTGGGGATAGTTGTCATTAATGAAAGAGGCAATGGTAACCAGAGTAGGTCAAAG